CAAATATATACAAAATCTGTTTTATATACTTTTTTTACTTTTAAAAATATATATGCAACTTAATTGACTTTGATACTTTTTCAAAAAAAATATGCAACTTTCTTACTCATGCGAAGGAGGTGAGGGTTATGGAAGAATCGAGAGCATCGTAGAGCACAGAATTGAACCAGTTTTATATATTTTATAATAGAACCAATTTGTATAGTTTTAGAAGAATTAGTAAATGGGGAAGCCTAGTTTGTGTGGGGTTAGATTGATTCTTACTCGGTATTTGTAAGTTCCAAAGAATTTACCTTTTATCAATCAAATTAAGTTCAAAGTTAATTAACATCCTCCTTCAAATCAAATTAATCACCGTGTATTAATTTAATTTCTCTTGTGTAGGCTCCATCATGTGTTCAATCCTTTGAGAGTTCATTGAACGGTGTCCAAATGTATAAGGATATAAAATTCACGCTTGTTTTGTAATTTGGTCTTTTGTTTACTTGGATCAATTTTTTTTATCCTTTTAAAAGTTTGAGAGCATATTTGATGTACTTGATGAAACAAATAAATTTGAAATAGGTTTTCTAAAGTCTCCTTTCTAAGTGTAAATATAATTGTTTTAGCTTTTGTACTAATCAACCTCAACTAATGATGTGACGCTCATTCTTGCGGCTAAAAGATGTAGATGCCCAACCTGCACATACTATATCATCTATTTGAATCTCGAGAAATAAGGCGCCTAGGTGGCACAAACAACTCAATGTTGGAGAGAGAGGTATGAAAAGATACCAAAAATAAAGGGTATTTTCGTAAGTTAAACTCCAAAGGAAAAAAAAAAACAAATGTTGTTATTTTTCACATTCATTATTGTTTGTCTCTCCTTGAATGTTTAAAAAATGTTGAATATAAATTTAACTATAAAAAGTATGCTCTATGTGTAATTTTTCCAATGCATTACATGAATATGGAATGTATTAGTGTGTGAGATAATGGTACAAAGACTAAATTTTTATACTAATTTTGTAAATTAAATGATATGGTTGTTGATAATTAAATTATTATTTAATTATTAATTATCATGTTTAAATCTTATTAATAAAAAAATTAATTTCCCAAACATTGCAGCACCTATAGTTAAGCAATGGCCCTAAATATTGAAATGGAATCTGTTTTTTCCTCTGCTCCTTCTCCCAATCTCAAGGTGAATTTATGTGCTTTTCATCGAAATTATTAATCAGACAACTTTATAATTTAAAAATCCGATACCCTGAAAGCTTTGACCTACAAATCTGTCTGAACCGGAAAAGGATGCATTAGTATCAGATTGTCAGGCATTTATTAATCCTAGGTGGACTCTCTTCGATATCTCTTCGATATCTATTCGGCTCTCAAAATACGTGTGGTCTCTATGTATAGCTTTCATTATTTTTTATGCATATTAAAATAGAAAATGTTATTCACATTTTAAAATTTTCATTCTACATTTTTTATGAATATATTTTTCTTTTTAGTGTAGAATGAGATTTTTGGAGTGTTAATAACAATTCTCATTAAAATTTGCCACAATAAAATTTAAAAAAAATAAAATTTATAAATATATGTCAATCAATAATTAAGATCATAAAGAGATCATACTCATTTTAAGTACAAAAAATTTCATTTCTTAAAAATTTAACTCTTTATAAACTTTTTATCACTTCATATTTTGAATTAAATATTTTATAATATTATCATGTAAACTAAAATTAAACTGTAAACAAATCCATGTGGAGTCTAACTTTCAAGAGCTCTGACATTTCTCTTTTCTAAAAGTTCTCAAGCAGGATGAACATGCAGACATAATGCATCTCTTTCTCTCTCTTGATAATGACTTATTAGGCATGGATAAACACGCATTACTTGTCTCTAACTGGCATTAACAATGCAATTTGTCTATTTATCCTACATGATTAGTTCGAGTAACGTAATTAATTATTTCTCAAGTCCTGGATGAGGAATAATCAAGGAAACAGGAAATAAGGAAACAGGAAAAAAAAAAAAACAGAAAATAAGGGTTGCATGCACACAAGATTCCTCTTACGTAAATTAATATAAGTTATTAGCTAATATTTTAACGTTTGTTGGCTCTTTTGGAACGGTTGGATTGGATATAACTTGTGGAAAAAAAAAAATTAGGTTAATGTAAATGAGGGTAAATTGAGTTGGCAATTATCATTTCTTTCACTAGAATAAAATCTAGGTTTGAATTTCATTGTTGGTAAACTTTCTTGGTGGGCGAACTGTTAAAAAAAAAAAAAAAAAAGAGCCTAAGATCTCCTCTATAAGTCCTCAAAAAACTTGTGGTGTGCCTTGGCCATGGGATGAGGTAACTTCCCCTCCCCTCTAAACTTTTAACAAACAAACTCACAAAAAAAAAATAATATTGCAATTAGCATGGTTGATCACTTTTTGACATTTGGTTGCAAAAATGATCATTTTTAATAATAATGACATATTGTTTATATATCAACGCCACAACAATGACACAATGACCACACAACGATGAATCTAGAGACCAAATGTCAAAAAATGATCATTCATGCTAATTGTCTAAGAAATAATATAGGCGATACTAGAGAGGGTAAATCGTATATGTGCAAAAGTAAGTATTCTCTTGATCACGTGAGACCATGTTTTAGTGAGTTGTCACACATAACACTAATTCCAGATCAATAATCCTATTAGATTTGATTTGGATTTCATGGATTTTTCGAGTTCAACCAGGTCTAGAGGTAGCCCACCTGGACACAATAGAAAAATCTTAGAGACAATTCAACAGCTCATTACGAATCAACATCGACATTGTTCTCAACTTAATCATATATGGTGTAATTTAATGTGTAAGATTTTGTACAAATAGCTCTCGATCGATTCAATTAGTACATTCAATATAAGGGGTTGAATTTTGTCAAAATTTTGGTGACTTTACATATACGCTAAAAACCTCTTGAGGTTTAAGTACATGATTGTGAAGTAGTATAAAATTACGGCATATCATAGTTTGTTAGACAAAATAATAGGTACAAAATAACCCTTTATTTAGTCTTCCTATCTATAATCTGAATGAAGTTTGCTAATATGCTAATAGTCTTGCCCATCTATGGTCACCAAAACAAGAATTTGGGACATAACATCCAATTAATGTCAATACGCTTTTGTTTTCACGGAAAATATAAATGGCGAATAGCTGAATACATCATTCTTTTTATGGAAAACATAATTCTGGCATGAATATGCAGTATTTCCTTCGCAAGCTCTATATAGATATATGCCTATATCCAAATTATATAAGGAATTGAAAACTTTTAAGACTATAGCTTAGGAATTGATTCTTTTCACTAATAAGCATAGAAATGCTTTAAGAATAGCCTCAGGAAGCACATCCCAAAGTGTGTGTGTGTGTGTCTAGTATATATTATATATATAATTGTAGCAAGCACATGCCAAAACTATATAGGTTTATCAACCTGGACTGGAGACTACGTAATTAATGAATTATTAATCCTTAATCTTGTATTAAGGGTCAAATTATTCTCTAGGGCGCATCTTGTCTTATGCTTTGTCTTAGCTAGGTATCGAGATTGGATGATCATGTCTTTAATATTTTTTGGAATTAAGGAGCATTAGTTAATTGCTAAACCACTAGGGATTGTACGTTAATCTCGCATATTAAATTTTGATTATAAATTTGATTATTGTCGTCTACATAAACAGTGGAAAACTAATCTATATGTTACAGAAAGCAGACACGCAGTTCGACAATAATATTATTAGAGGGAAGGGAAAAATAGCCGCGCGGTTTGGAGAAAGCATCGATTTATTCTACCCTTAGTTGGCAGTGGCAGCATTATTTAGACTACTGTACATTTATATAATCATGATTCATATGTGCTGGATAATAAGAATATATCTTGAATTTTGTATGGTTGATATCACATCGTAATGGTAGTGGTATATCTTAATTTGATTATTTATGCATGTAAAAGTTGTACGTGGCACATTATTAATCTTACCATTTGCTTAACATTAAGATAATACTATTTTTACGATAATCTTCTAGGACATTTTTAGGTGTAATCTTTTTGTTGCCTTTTCCTTCTGTTTTTAGGATAGCTAACACAAATAATGAAATCAATGGAAAAAGTCATTCATCCCACTTTGAGAGGATTTCTTTCGCATTTCTCTTCAACTAATATGTACACGAGCAGCCAAACCTTATTTGTTGGGCCGAATAAGATTTTGTCACCGACAGTTTTGCCTTAAGGAACTTCGTCGGCAAAGTTTGTCGCGCTAAGATTGCAATGCAAACTTTTGCGCGACAGAACTCTAAAATTCGGTAGGCAAACTATATTTGCCCGACGAAATTACTAATAATAGTTTCGTCGAGCAAAGCACATTGACTAACTTAGCCCGACGAAGCCAACTTGCTTAACGATCGAGTTTTTTCTTTCCACGGTGTATGCACGGAAATAAAATTAAATAAAAAAAGTGTTGCCCAAAGAAAGTTTCGGCGGGCAAGTAAAATAAAGAAAAAAATAAATTAAAAAAAAACCAAAATACATGCTCAACAAATATATTCGTCGGACAAACATATTAGTTTTGACACACCCCGACCGAGATCAGGGCGTGCTGGCCGTCACTCGGAGGTGACGTAACCATGTGCACGTGCGGAAGCTAAGTAAAGTAATATAAAAGTACGAATAAATTAAAATCTAGCATACAAAGTAGGGGTGGTTCGGTATGGGATCCCATACCGAAACCATTGTCCCGATTCCCAAACCGAAATTTTTGGGAATCCCAAATTCAATCCCAATCCCAAACCAAATTTTCGGGAATCCCAATTTTCGGGAATCCCGAAATAATTTCGGGATTTCGGGACAAATCGGGAATCCCGAAATGTTTTTGGGCTTTTGGACTAAAATTTGACATATTATGTTTTTGGGCTAAAATTTGACATATTATAAAGTAATAAATAAAGTAACAAACTCAAAAGCAAAAATAGTAGTTACAAGCCAAGGTTTATAAATAAAGTAACAAACCCAAAATCAAAAAAATTAGTTATGAGCCAAAGTTTCAATAATTAAGTTACAAACCAAAAGCTAAAAAGCAAAGCTTAAAGTCTATAAATATTGTTGGCCTCTTCGGCCCCTTCGTCCCCTTGATCTTGTTGATGCTTGTGGTTGGTCCCTTCTTGTTGGTAATTGTACTCTTCCCCTTGATGTTGATGGTTGAGCCCTTCCCCTTGCAATGGGTGGTCGTGGAGGTAGTGATTGATTTTGACGTTGTTGAACTTCAACTTGGAGTGGTCGAGGAGGTGGAGGTGGCATTTCATTTTCTTGTGTTGTATTCTCCTCACCTCCCAAATTAGCCGTGCCTAAAACAATAAACCACAAATCATTTACATTGAATTATAGTCTAATAGATAATAAATACTAAGAAATTAAAAGAGGAAATTAAATTGTTTACTTACTTCTTTCTAAGCGTTCAAGCTCCTTGTAGAAATGGAATTCGTCAAGTGTAGGCTCCTTGTAGAAACAAAATTCTTTTCCTCTAAGCCAATCACTAGTACACACTAAAGCCTCAACCGTTTTAGGTGTTAAGGAAGTTCTAAAAGGATCAACAACTCTCCCACCAAGACTAAAGGCATTCTCACTAGCAACGGTGCTACTAGGAAGGGCCAAAACATCCTTAGCAACTTTACTAAGAGTTGGATATTGAGCACAATTTCCTTTCCACCAATCCAAAAGATTGAAACCCTCATATGTTAGGCTTTGATGTGGATCATTGAAGTACATATCCACTTTATTGGCTATCTCATTTTGTTGTGCCTCCGCTCTCTTTCGTTGGATCTTCTTTGTCATCCTTAAAGCAACATCAATATCTACAATCACACCCCCCACATCATCTAGTACAACACTTGATCTTTGCTCCACATTTGAGGTAGCACTACTACTAGTACTACTAGTACTACTACTACTAAGGACCACTCCCTCCTTGTATGCATTATACAACTCGGTTACATAGCCTTTAACCCTTACTTTCTCCTCCCTTATTTTGTCCCATCCATAGCCGAGCTCTTCTAGATTTGTCTCCAACATATCAAATTTGTACCTAGGGTCGAGTACTTGGGCTACAAAGAGAATAGGATTCACCTTTTCAATGTGACCCCAATATTTGTCAAACTTGAGCTTCATTGAGGTAGCCACACTTTGCAAAGTGGCATTAGAGGCGTTTAAAATTTGTTCTTGTATCTCCACTTGCAAGGCAATCACTGTGCTAAGTATTAAGTGTGACGTTGGAGTAAGGGTTGCACTCAATGTCAAGGTGGCATCATAAAATTTTTTAAGAAAGTGAGCAAAACTCATCGATCTTTCCCAATCATCCACCTCCGGAGGACCCACCCGCTTGGTCTTTGTTGTCACCCCATCAACCTCTTTTGAGACCTCCTTTTTAAAGTAAGCAATAAAAGAGTCACACTCAAAGGCCATCTTAGAGAACACTTCTTTAAACTTGAAAGCACTATTAAGCATCTCATATGTGGCATTCCACCTTGTGACAACATCAAAAGGGATACTTGACATCCTATCAAATCTCAACAAGACACAATATTCCCTAAAAGACTCCAACCTTTCCGGGGATGAGTGTATAAACTTCACACAATTTCTTATGGCATCAATTTCACAACTAAGCTCCGTCATTCCATCCTTAACTATCAAATTGAGGATGTGACAAGCGCACCTCATGTGCAAGTGAGCCCCGTCAAGTAAAAGAGTACCATTTGACTTGAGTCTTCTTTTCATGTATGCAATTGCGGTGTCATTTGCACTAGCATTGTCAACGGTAATGCTAAACACCTTGTCAATGCCCCAATCATTCAAGCAAACCTCTAGACATCTTCCAATATCATCACCCTTATGAGAAGTAACTTGTACAAAGTTTAGGATCCTCTTATGCAACCCCCAATTAGTGTCCAAAAAATGGGCCGTGATGACCATGTAATTTATCATTTGAATTGAGGTCCAAGTGTCGGTTGTAATACTCACTCTCAACCCCTCAATCACACTTTTTATTTTAGCCTTCTCTTCAACATACAACTCCAAAACCGCCGCCGCCACCTTATGCCTATTAGGAAGTTTGTATTTTGGATTCAAATCATGAATAAAATCTCGAAAGTCTTGTTGATCAACCACCCTAAAAGGCATCTCCGCTATTATAATCCACCTCACACATCTTCTATCAAGTCTTTTTTGATTGAAAGTGTGAGTGACAACCGGACCTCCCATCCTCGCTTGTGTCAATGTTGGTTGCTTCGGATCCACATTCTCAAAGAGACTAGAACCCGGGCATTTCCTCAAATGCTTAAGAATTCCCGTCGTCCCATGAATTATAGGGTGCGCCGGTACTAAGAGTTTGCAATGCTTGCATTCGGCCATGAAAGATTTCTCCCTATTATTATCGGTGATCGTTACCCTCTTAGCATCATTCCACGCCGGACTTGGACCCTTTCTCCTATTGCCCTTTTTCCGAGGAGGACCCTCCCATTGTCTCACTACTTCTTCTTCTTCTTCTACTTCCTCTTCCCCCTCTTCCTCATCTTCTTCTAGTTGTTCTAATGCAATATCCTCCTCCATATCCGGATCATCATCCCAACAATCTTCATAATAATCATTATGCAAATCATCTTGAGGTGAGGGAGTGCCTAGTTGAAGGGTACCACTAGGTTGGGTTTGTTTTCGTTTTCCTAATACCGAGACCATAGGTGTACTAGATTGGCTACTAGACCCGTCCATCCTAACAAATAAAATAACAATGCACATTAATATATCACAACCACAGTTCAGCATATATCCAAATTCTAATCAAAGAAGCAACAAAACTCAAAATGAAAAACGTCATGTTTTAGTAGTTAGAGCCTACAAATCTTCATTCATCAATCAGCTCTCTCAGGCCATATCCCATTACGGCAGGTCATCAATTTAATAACATGTAAGAATACTATAAGAGTACGCGCAAAGACACACCTTGTGCCACGGATGAGGCTTTATCTGTGGGAATTTAAATTCAGTATAGTTTGGATTCATGCACTTTATCTCTTCCCTGGTTGGAGTCCCCAAAACTTGCACAAAAATGTATAATTAACCGTATGTCAGTATGTCTATTCATCCCTCTTTTCATAATTGTGGAAATTTGAAAACATGAAAACAACAGCTTCTTAAAGACTAGAGAACTGTAGACTTTTAAATCATAGAAGATTTCACCACCAAAAAAAAATGATGACATTCTAAGGAGTAACAGTTTATAATAGTTGATTGAACCTAGATTGACATCCAAAGGAGTAACATCTAAGGAGTAACAGTTTACAATTTTAATTCGATATTCAAAGTTCGCTAAATAAATACACAATGGCAATCTACACAGAACTAGATTGACATCCTCACCTTAATTATCTCAACTAGTATTTGGCTACTTTAAAGATTTCTCCTCGGCTTCCTTTAGTTCCACCAACTGTACTCCACAGAAACATAACACCTCAGAAAGTTAGACTGAAGGACAGATGAAGATAGAGATAAACAGATAAACAGAGAAACAGCAAGAAAGAGATAACTAACCAATTGATCAAACTTAGGCCTCCTTGTACATATCCACCAACCGAGACCCGATTCCTTTCCTGTAGTACTCCCAGTCTATGGGTTCAGGCTCCTGTACAAAATGAGAAGTGGGGATCAGAAAATATATTGAAAATCATTACAGTAATGTCAAAAAAGTGAAATAAATGCACCATAGGCGCAATAGAAATCTTCACAAAAACACAATTATGTAAAAACCCATACATAATTTACCATTTCGACATGATTTCCCATATAATTAGTTGCTAAATACAAAATTTCCAATCCTAATTATCCGAGGTCCTTCATCCTCACCTTAATTATCTCAACTAGTATTTGCCTATTTGGCCACTCCACTTTCGCCAGGAAACAAAGGCTGCAAGAGAATTTGGCTACTTTCTTAGTACAAAGGATTAATCAAATTACTACTAGTATTTCACTCATAATGACTACTTTCTGAATTAGCAACAGTAGGAGCATTTTTCATGCCGTGAAGTCACCATGAAGCGGATAAACATCATAAACTTACAACGTCGTGAAGTCAGAGACGATTCGTGAAGGAAGGCTGGGCCGCTGGAGAGTCAGAGACGATTCGAAGGAAGGCAAGCTGGGTGGTGATTCTGGTGAAGCCGTGAAGGAAGGCTGGTGGGTGATCGTGATTCTGGTGAAGCCGTGAAGGAAGGCTGGTGGAACTGTGGAAGTGGAAGTATGGAACGGAAGTGAAGATTGAAATGGGATCTAACCTAAAAACAAATGAACGGCACAGATTAAATCTAAAATAATGAACGGTTGAAATAATTCTCTTATAATTAAAAAATAATATATATATATATATATATATAATATTTATTTCGATTCGGTATGGGAATACCGAAAAAATTGAGATGCAATACCGAATCCCATACCGAAAATTTCGGTTTGGTTCGGGATGACCTACCGAAAATTTCGGGAATTTTGGTTTGGGATTTTTTTGGTTTGGGATCGGGATTTTTTCGGTTTGGTTTGGGATTTTTGGGATTTTTTTCCAGCCCTAATACAAAGTACTAAGACAAGTACTAGTGTACGTGAGACATTAAGTTCAGAGCAAGACTACAACAGTCCAAAGAGAATACTACGACAATAATACACCCGAAGGTGACCCTACATTGGTGAGTATCTGTCAAAAATGCCGGGACGCCCTCTGGGAAGACCACCGCAACCGCTAAGCAACTAGAACCTGGAGGGACGCAAAACAAAAGCGTGAGTGGGCAAAAACAAAGCTCTTTGAAAACTCTTTAAAAAAACACATTCTAACCCCTCGCCGTAAAACCTGTATACATCCCAGAAAGTGAACGTATGTACATATGTATAGATATGCCAATCATGCTCCAAGATATGCCAATCATGCTCGAGAATATGTCACATTGGAATTCATCATAAATATAAATACTCAAGCAATACTCTTATCAATAACATCTAATCTAGCAGCCGGGAGTCACCTAACGTGACCTGTACGGCGGCCTATAGAGCTCCAATCTCAACTCACTAACCAAATCTGCACACGAGTCGGAACCACCTAATGTGGTCTGTACGACAGGCTTGGTGTAATATATATACGCTCTAGTGCTACGATCACGTGAAGCTATGCGATAAATCGCGGGTCACCTACGAGTCGGAACCACCTAATGTGGTCTGTACGACAGGCTGTGCACCTAACCTGGATCCAAGCTGAGCGTGTGGTGCGGGAGGTGAACATACACGTGAAGGCTATGCCTTGGCCTCGGGCGGGAGCACTAACACCGGGGTGCAGATAATAAGCTCTCTAAGCATCTCAAACTACAATTGCATAACAACATGAAACCACTTACCTGGCACTTACCTGTGCGTCCACAGCACCAAATACAAATATATAATGTATGCCGTTACTAATGTATGTGATGATGCATGAGCGATAATACTAACGTGCATGGCATAAATCAATTAACTCTTTTTATTCTATTTCTGGGAATTTAAAGTATATAGGTATATACGGAAAACAAAAGCCCACTCACTGATAAGTGGAAGGGTCGTAGCCCCCTGCCTCGAGTGAATACGCTCGTCCTCGGAGTACGTATCACCTATACGCGAAAAAGCTACGAAAACGTCAATTTCAAAGCACATAACCAATTCCTTGTAATAATTTCTCATACATTGCTCAAATTGGACAATTGAATATACCAAAGTGATCTACACAACCTCACGATCACAACCATATTTTTATATTAATTTTTGGACCACGCACGCGCCCCCACGCGCCTGGAATGGCACGGACCCACGCGCCCCCCACGCGCGGTCACGTGCCGTTTGACTGACGGAATATTCCCTAACTGACGCCGTTAGTCCTTTAGGAATATTCCGTTAAAACTTAACGGAATATTCCCCTGTCCTCTCCGGCGAGTCACCGCCGCCGGAAAACTGCAAAAACTTCAAACTTCGTTTTCTCACTCGTTTTTCAACCATTTTTCATGTTCTTTATACCAAAATGAAGCTTAGGACTAGTAGAATCACGTTAGACTAGTTTTAAGGCCTAAAAATCAAGGAATTATACCTGCAACAACGATCTAAGTTCGGCCAACTTTGAACCTTGCTTTCCCGACGTCCAAATTCACCCAACGAAGCATTCCCAAGCTCCTTAGAACCTCACCAACACATCTACAAACTTAAAATATCCAAAAACATGCTAGATTAAGTTTGCATGAATAGTGCTCAAAACGGAGTTCGTCGAATCGACGTGAAAACGTAAGATTTCTCACCTGAAAATGGTATGGTTGTGCTCCTCTCGACTTCACGAGTTCGATGGTGTAATTGGTTTCTTGATTTGTGAAGGTTTGAGTATGTTTGTATGTGTGTCCGTGTGTGTTTGAAGAGAGAAGAAGATGAAATGGTAGAGGACTCGGGGAGGGAGAGAAGAGAGAGAGACAAAGAGACAGAAAAGAGGGAATCAGGGAAAAGAAAAGGGAAAGAAATGATGACAGGGTGTGTGTGTGTCTAGCACGTGTCCACACCACCCGAAATAACGCTAGACGTAAATGTGACGAACTAGGGGCAAAACTGTCATTTCATACTTGCGTTTCTATATTCTCGGGACGGGATGTCACAAGTTTTTTTAGTTTAAATCATATTTAATTTACAATAATTAATTGTAATTATATTTCATCACTTTAATTATATTAATCTCAGAAGATATCACGACACAGAAAAATTTATTGAATTATATTGAGATTGAAATGTTAGTACAACTATATATATATATATACTAAAACTGAAATATATATATATATATATATTCTCGGTGCCGCATTGTCTCTTAATTGATGTCGAACTGCTTGAGTTTGGAAAATTTTCACCTTTAGAAATTACAAGCTCTGAAAATGACCGCAGAACCAGTGCCACTCGTCCATCCTTTGCACATAATTTGGCTGTGAACAATGACGAAGCTAGTGTAGACCTAAGGGGTAGATGCCCCCACTCATTCAAAAAAAAGAAAAAGAAGAAGTATGGTTTGCATTTCAGTTCTCAATGACCAACCCTAAATAAACTAAAATTAAAAAAAAATTGGTAGACAACTAAACTAGTCTATTGTTTGCATCCCCAATGACTTACCGGATGACAATTTAATTAACAGTTAATTTAATTGAGCCTCCCCGTTTTCCTAATCCTAGGTCGTTAATCCTCAAGAACTCATCCCACCACGTACGGTAGAGCAATTCCAGTCTCCTCATCTTCTCCAGATTTTTCCTCTCCTTTCATTAAACCAAAACTCAATTGAATTGAAGTTCAAGTAATCAAGTGTCAAAATTTGACACAAGAATTTTACTCCACAAGGTATTTTATATGACTTTACTTCATTAATTTGTTTTTGGCATTACAATTAGAATTTAGCTTTCTAATTTAGAGATCAATGGATGAATGATAACATAACTATTTTTATAGAGAGAGATATTTGATGTTATTAATAATGATATTGTCATGCAAAGCTTTCAAAACATGAAAATGAGTCGATGAATATTGTAATATGTTATATGACAAAAGTAAATGGATTAATTATAAGTGTTTTGTTCAATAAATTCTTGAGCTTTTTAGTTGTGACTTTGTTGTTTAAGGATGTCCATGTTCATACAATTCTCTAACTT